GGATATGCCTCTGGCTTCTTCAGCGGTGCCACTCCCACTCTCTCCCTCAACTCTTCCTCTTCTCTCCAGCTCTCTTCCTCCCCTGCCAGCCTCCACATCATGGAGGGGTAGCCAGAGTCTTCAGGCACTCTGATCCTAAGCTCTGGAGCTCTCTCTTCTAATACAAACTCAAAACTACCTGTTATGGGAATCCTACGCCACATTTTTTATGAGGCAATTAAACAAAAAGTTAGAACCAAGAAAAAATGTATAGAATAAATAATACTGACAAAATTCTCACTGATAATATTAATATTTTGCAATAGACATAGGCAACATGCATGAAGGAGTAATCTCAAGATCATAATATGTTCACTCGTACCTTGGGTCCAGTTCCAAGCACAATAATATCATATTCCTGCATCTTCACTTCTTTGTTGGTCTAGCCAGGTTTACCCGCCAGTAGTGTAGACTGTCCAGTGGCTATGTCCACTGTAACAAGTGACAGTCAATGAGTCCCTTTTAAGTAATCTTCTTAAGTCAAGTTTATGCAGCATGTGTGTGTGTATGACAGTGCTGTGAGGACGATAATGTTGCTGCAATAAAGCTCACAGAAGTAAGCCTGTATCTAAACATTAATTTCATCATACACAACATACACACACATATTACATTTTATTTGCATTAAGCCTATTGTCTAAATCATTTTGCCAAGGAAATGTAACCTCAAGGGTCTAAATAAAAAGAGTTGGGATGTCTCATAGTAGAGCTGAGCAAATGAAACGAATGGGAGGTCATGCCTCATTAAAAGCCTCCAGAGAAACAAAAGCATGCATCAAAGTTCATGGAATACAGACTAAGAAATGAAAGTCATCTGTGAAATATTGCAGACGAGTCTTAAGTTATTTCGACTTCACCCGTCTCTGTCTCTCTCGTTGTGGTGATGCATGATCTGCGCGTTGCGTCAGTGAGCGTATCCCGGAAGTGTCTGTTCAGTTGTCAAGTTTGCTGCAAACTTGCAACTTGCAGAGTCCTTGCTGAATCCTTCCAGAAAACTTGCCAAAACGAGCTCGTCTTAAAGATGTCATCTCCACAGCCAGTAAGTTTACCTTTAGCTGGATTATGTATTTGATGCCTCAACTTGCACATAATGCTAAAATTTGACGCGCAATTTATTTCAAAATAGCCTACGCTCGAAGAGGCTGTTGATAGTTGAAAGTTGATAAGGAGTAAAACTGGTTCTAACTAATCTATAAAAAATATTGGTGCATAAAAATGGTGAATTTGAATTTCTAAAAGTTAATATTTCGATGCTTTCATATCCATGTACAAAGCCTTAAATATAACTCAAATAATGCCTTAGCTACCATGATTGGATGTAGGCCTACTTCATTCATTTATTTTTCAACTTTCCAACATCTATAGTTACATTTGTTGTATTTTCAGTTATGTGCTTTATAAGTTGTGATGTTTTGTCTTACCCAGTTCTCAGACAACCAGCACAGGCGAGTGTCCTCCAAGTCCAACCCTGGGTTTTTGGAGCGGCTCAGTGAGACAGCAGGAGGGACACTGGTTGGTGTTGGGATGTTCTTCCTGTCCATTTATATTCTATTTACTAATGAGGTAAAGATTATAACCTTTTCTGTACATTTGAAAGTTATATATTTTTGTATACTTTAGCCAGGATCTTCGTTCTGCTTTTCAGGGCCGAGCGTTGCAGACAAAATTATCTCTGGATGAGGGACTAGCCCAGGTTGTATCTTTAGATTCTTACTTTGGCCTTGATCCACAAAACGACAACCGTTTAGTTCATCTGTCGGCAAAGCTTCACACAGTTCAGGTGAAACAGCACACTGTAATAACTAATATTTCTTCGCTACATGGTTTAAACTCTTATTATTGTTTATGCAGCCTCTTCATGACCCAAACTACAGAGTAGTGGTACAGGCTGTAAAGCTGAAAAGAGAGGTTGAGATGTATCAGTGGGTGGAGTATTCAGAAAGCAGGTGAGTCAGAATAAAGTTACTTGTTAAGGATTTTTAAAAATATCTTAATTTACAAATGTGTATATATTTGTAGACAATATTTGTGCAAATTTCTTCACACATCAACTGTATAATTAAAAAAACAACAACAAAAAAAAAAAAGAAAACTAAAAACTCCATGGCAACAGAATGGTTGGCTGCTTTTGTGGCTACCTGGCCTACATACTGAGCTGTTTTTTGAAACTTTTGTTTTTTGACTCTACCTGACCAGTCCTCCTGTTATGCTGCACTAAGATCTTTAAGACACAAAGGTGACTGAGAAGTGCAGTGTAAATGTTGCAGCAAAACTACAACAGTTTGCTACAGCAAATTTTGAATTTCCCACAGGAGTAATAAGGTATCTCTCTCTAGCAGCTAAAAGTGTAATAAAAAACACAATTTCACCGAATATGAATGTGTACAAGAAAAATGCTGTATACGTAAACATAAGCAGTGCAAGAAGATGAATAGAGGAGCTTTGACATGAATTACATAAATTTTAGATTTGTATGGGTTAGACAGTTTAAACTTAGCCTGTGTACATATGTGTCTCACACACTGCACCCATACACACCCCATGTACATTGCACTGGAGTTAAATGATTGTGACATCGCTCTTATTTTGGCTTTGGTTAAGACTACTTCCAGGCCCAATGGAGTTCTAGCCTTGTTCAGTATAATTTTCACCAAAAGGTGATTTTATTTTGCTGCAGGGTCTCGAGCAAAGCAGATTTAAATTTTAAAACTGTACAAAAACAGTCAGTAGCATCTGAAAGTCAAGTTATTTTTATCATCTGAGAATTTCAAAACCTATAACTAAGAATTTTATGTAAAAAAAGAACCATTAAATAAAAAAGGGTAATAGGTAAACCAGTGATATTGTTTAGTGTGACTGTGAACCTGTGAATCTGTTTTTTGTCTTGCTATGTTTGAAATTCATGAGGAGATTTGGACAGAATCACACATTTGCTGTTTGTGTCTTTGGAGCTCAGATCATTTGGACCTAAACAAGCTGACAAACATAATTGATGCAAAACGGTGTGATAAATTGTTATTTTCAGAGACTACCAAGAAAATGGTGAAACCAAAACTGAAACGACCTACACATACAGTAAGTTTAGTTAGATCATAATGATCTGTAATTTTTTTTTGGACATGTATTTTTAAAAAGTGAATCAATATTTTTTCAGATACTGAATGGAAATCAGAATTGGTGAATAGTCGTCATTTTGACAAGGAAATTGGTCACCAGAATCCAAGGTTTTGTATGGTCTAATAGTGCTTTTGAGATGATTGATCTGCTTTGTTTTGAGTCTAAAATAATTTGGTCTTAGTGCTATGGCTGTTGAGAGTGTGACAGTGGTAGCTCCTGAAGTCAGAACTGGACCTTTCATTTTGTCGAGAGGTATTTTCTAGCCATTTTGTTTATTTATTGTTTATTTAATGTTTAGCTTTTTTCTTTACTAATTTTAACACATATCTCCTTTAGGACTCATTGACAAAATTAACAACTTCCAGACACTGAGTTTGCGGGATTTTAATGCCATAAATTTAGATCCTTTCCTCACCATTCATGACGATTACTTCTACCACACTCAGTATCCACACAGACCAGAAGTGAGTGCCAAAAGTGAGTACCAAAACCAGGGGGGAAAAAATGCAATTATATATTCTTTTGTCTCTAGGTTGGTGATGTGCGGGTGAGATTTTCCTATGCTGGTCTGAGTGGAGAGCAGTCTTGGCTTGGGACACCTCAAACTGTGAGTGTGTATGTGTGTGTGTATATGTATATATACATGTATATACATATAGTGTGTATGTATATATATATATATATGTGTGTATATGTATATATATGTATATATAGTATATATATATATATATATATATATATATATATATATATATATACTATATATATATATATACATACTATGTATATATATACATATACTATATATATACATACTATGTATATATACTAAGTATATATATATATATATATATATATAGTATACATTATTCTATTTCTACTGTGGCAATCATTTACAGGTGAGTGTTGTCGCAATGCAAAGAGGAGAGCAGCTGATGCCATTCAAAACTAAATCGGGTGACATTTTGGAGCTTTTGCACTTGGAAAACCTGTCTGCGGAGGTATTTAAAAACATGAATGTTCTTTTATTCACTAAACATAAATAGTAAATATTATTTTTAAACATGCATTTTAAAGAAAATATATTATACTTTTATGGTATTTAGTATTAAACTTTACCATACTTTTTAAGCATAATATTAAGCATAGCATAGTACTAAAATTAGTTTCACTGTAAACTGCATTATAGATCTAAAACAGCCATTGACTTGAACTAATGGAACACAATTATAGCATGATTAAAAGCTCAACTAGTTTTTACAAAATGTTTTCCCTGTTAGGAGATTTTTGACAAGGAGCACCAGTTCAACAGCCTTAAGACTTGGGGGTTGAGAGTGGCCGGTTGGGCTCTCATGTGTTTGGGAATTCAGCTTGCAATGCGCATCATCTACACCCTAGGTAAACAAGACCTTTTATTTGCTGATTAATTGCCAACTGAGCATTATAATCATTGTGTTTTTCAGTGGACTGGCTTCCTATCCTGAGAGAGCTGGTATCTGTGGGCATTAAAATTTTTGCTCTATGTGTATCCTGCTCCCTTTCCCTCCTCGTCATTGGTGTTGGTTGGTTGGCTTACCGCCCCCTGGTGGCTTTTTCCTTGGCAGCAATAGGGTTGATTCCATTGTTTATTGCTCGCTCAGGATTTCCAGCAAAGAAAGATGAATGACTACTGAACTGAATGTAGTTGTGTGTAAATATCTGCCCTTTGTAACCGGGATGTTTACATTATACTCTGCAAAACAGAGGACTTCCTGAAATGTTGTTACACTCAACATTCTTGTCATTACCCCAAGAATCCACTTTTGTTCCTGACAATATACATACCTCACGTTTGCCAAATTGGTATGCATTTATTAGATGCATTACTATCCTGCAATATATCTGGTGGTTTGTGAGGTTTTTACGAAGCTTTGAGATTGTTTTTGAAAATGCCAAAGAAATTGGTTTATGCACTGATGGCAAACCCTTATTGCACTGTTTGATACATGAAAGAAGAAATAGGGATTGTACTGATGTGTGCATAATAAAGTTATGTAAAGTGTTGTATTTTACCGCTCATTCTCTCCTGTCATATTTCAGATTTCCCACAGCTGTCCACTATTACAATCAAACATTACAACCAGCCGATAACAAATTCAAACAGAAATGCCACTTTGATAAATGTAAAGCACATATTTATTGTGTGCAATGCCATCAGTGGCAAATATTTTGCAGGAATAGATTTACTAATTCATAAGATTTAGTTTTAAATTGTCATAATACACATTGTCCTTTCAAAGCATCAACACAGACCTTAAAAATGTGCGTCGATGTTAGTTGCATTATACTTGACAAATTGACATGTTATATGTGTACTCCAAATGGAAAGATCTTTACAAATTAATTTATTACACAAACATTTGCAATTTACCAAAATGAGTTTCCAGTCTATGTGTGCACCAAACTTTGAAGCAGAAGCACACTAGCACTTAGCATGAGTATCTATTGAAGAAGTATTTGAAAGACTATGGGTCACAGTGCACAGGTACTTCTCCCTAGTTGGCTGTGGAAACATTCCTTAGATCAGCAGTGGGGCTCAAGCACTTAACTGTAGTTGGCAGGTATGACTCAATGGTCCCCAGGCTGACCTCCATTACAGAGCAAGAGTTGAAAAAGAAAGTTTCAATATGGCAGATTTACTTAGGTTAAAGTACAAAAAGTATTTCCATTACCTCAAACTCGAATACTGACAGAACCTGACTACTGGCTTAAGACAAAAAGTAAAAGCATTACACCTTTAGTAAAAACTGGGAGAACAGTCTGTGTGGTTTGGGGGTAGGTTTCAACCCAATGCTCCTTCTTCCCCTGGCAGGAAGCAGTCCTGCTTTTACAGTAGGAGACATTTACTAGTCTTCTTGCCCTTCTTGGCCTGTAGTGCAGCCCTAGTGGCCATCTCGAAAACTTCCCTCACACCATCCTTTGTTTTTGCAGAACACTCCATGTATCCAAAGGCATTAATTCTGTTCGACATGTCCCGTCCGTCCTCTGGTTTCACTGGTTCCTAAGTAGGACAAAAATAACATTGTATCTTAATCACACTTGGAGACATTAGATTTTTTAACAGACCAATATTTATCTACCTGCTTCATTTTGGCGAGTTCTCTTCGGGTATGTTCATCATTGCGTAGGTCCTTTTTGTTTCCCACCAGAATAATGGGAACATTAGGACAGAAGTGTTTAACCTCTGGAGTCCACTTTTCAGGGATGTTTTCTGAATAATGAAATAAAATGAAGTAATTTCACACATGACGTTAGATGAGGGACTTCATATATTTACATCAACTATTCAATGTTGTAGTGATGAGGTTTGAATTTTATTTATTTGTGGACAGACTTGGGAAATCGTTTATTCCACATGCCATACAGCTATACAACGCATCTCTATAAATTATGAATTACTGCTGTATTGTTTTTTATATTCTATGGTCATGAGCTCTGGGTAGTGACCGAAAGGACGAGATCGCGGATACAAGCGCTTGAAATGGGTTTCCTCCGTAGGGTGGCTGGGCGCTCCCTTAGAGATAGGGTGAGGAGCTCAGTCACACGGGAGGAGCTCGGAGTAGAGCCGCTGCTCCTCCACGTCGAGAGGAGCCAGTTGAGGTGGCTCGGGCATCTGTTCCGGATGCCTCCTGGGCACCTCCCTCGGGAGGTGTTCTGGGCATGTCCCACCGGGAGGAGGCCCCGGGGAAGACCCAGGACACGCTGGAGGGACTATGTCTCTCGGCTGGCCTGGGAACACCTCGGGGTCCCCCCGGAGGAGCTGGAGGACGTGTCTGGGGTGAAGGAAGTCTGGGAGTCCCTGCTTAGGCTGCTGCCCCCGCGACCCGGCCCCGGATAAGCGGACAAAAATGGATGGATGTTTTTTATATTATTATTATGTTTCATTCAAACAAACAAAAAAAAATCCAAAAAATTAAATCTTTTATCCAGAATAAAATTATCTATCGGACTTTCATAATTTAAGGAGTTCTTACCAAGACTGTCAGGGCTATCGATGGAGAAACACATAAGGATCACATCAGTGTCTGGATAGGAGAGTGGGCGCAATCTGTCATAGTCTTCTTGACCAGCTGTATCCCACAAGGCTAGTTCAACCTGCAGAAAGTAAAACATCACAAGACATGACATCTTTAACATTTTCAAATAAATAACACATCTTAATTGCTGAACTAAGATACAGTCAAAGGTCACTGCAGCAATCCCACAAAACAACTGAAATGCCAATCAAACTTACATGTTACAGTAACAGGTTTTAGTTTAGGAGAATTGATAAAACCTCTTTATGACTATGTTGCTATATATGTTTGCTATTTTGCACGGAGTACATTTCAGGGTCTTATTGACAGGTATGAGTATTGGTGCAACAGTAATTCTTACCTGTTTGCCATCCACTTCAATGTCAGCTACGTAGTTTTCAAAGACTGTGGGCACGTACACTTCAGGAAACTGGTCCTTACTGAAGACGATTAAGAGACACGTCTTTCCACAGGCACCATCTCCAACTATCACCAGTTTTTTCCTAATTGCTGCCATAGCTACAAATAGACAAATAATATTAATAGTTCATTGCATCAAGATGAGTGCATTATGCAAATAAACGTCTTTTCCTGTGAGGAAGAGGAAGAGGAAGAAGAAGAGGAAGAAGAGGAAGAAGAAGAAGAAGAAGAAGAAGAAGAGAGCAACAGTAACCTTGTTGACAGCTGCCCTCTGACCAATAGTCGAGACTTCCCGATCAGCTGGTTCAGCTGGAGCTACTGGTAGTTTTCGCGATTATACTACACAAAAACACTTAAACACAGTGGAAAACCGCTCTGTGCTCAAGTAACGTTATTTCTATCAACGCAACGTTACTGAACACCAACACCAATGTTTTCCACCTAACTGGACCAACCCACCTTGCAAAAGCATTTTTATATAATTTATACTGCCTCGGAATATATTTCAATGCGTGAGCAGCTAGAAACGATGAATATAACCATGTGCAGTCAAGAGATGATAGAGAAAAATGCGGGCCTACAAAGTGTTTCCAAAGACCTTAGAGGGTAACAGAGCTTTAGCATTAGCTTAAAAGAAAGAGGCTCTCGTGTTAGCTAGCTGTAAGTTTACTTTTGTTATGAAACTGATATCCTACATTAGCTTTTTCTTACAATCTCACATTAATATTGGTTATGCTGTGGTAAAGACGCGTCACTGTTCAAACAAAGTTACTTACGCAGATGTGCACTTTTAAGATAATGAGTACCAAACCGGCTTCGTGTAACTTGTTTAGGGTTAGCTTAGCATAGCCAATAAAACGGAAGTCAAGAGCGACTTTTGGTTAGCTTAGAGCCATAGCAAACTATCGGACGAAAACATGACAATCCCCTGTAGAAATAAATATTTCGCGGCATTAACTGTGATGGTTGACTCAAAATTACACACTCACCGGTGACTGATGAAAATTATATCTAAAAGAGTGTTTTGTTGGCCTCCGTGGGAGTCGGCGAATAGGCCCCGCTACTCCGGATTAACAGCAGGGAAGAAGTGAGGGAAGCGAGGGGGTGGGGACTGTGCACATTGTTACACAGTCACACAACACAGCATTTACAACATCACGGTCAGCTCAGCAGCCCCGAAGCAAATGCACAACTAGAGCAGCACTACGTTTCACGACGGTTGTTTTATTAGCCAAAACTGGTAAGTGTGTGAGGTAAGAATAACTCTACAGTCTGGGTTTATGGTGCTGGGGAGCAGGGGCTTTACTTTGAACTCCCCCTGAACTAAGCGTTTTGGGAGAGTGACAACAAATTTTGGCAGATTATATCTAAAGTGTTATAACCTACCCTTTTCAGATCCACCATAATCGCAGATGCTGTGTGATCTAGTAAGAAAAAAAAAAAAAGAAGAAGAAGAAGAAGAGGATTTAATGAAGCCAACACAGTTCTAGCCTGCATTCATTCTGAATTAACATAGCTATTAGGCACTTACTTAAAAAACAAACAAATATCAAAATCTTAAAATTACAATATTTAGTTACACAATGCTACAACTGCAGCATGAATGGCAGCATGCACAGGCTTGTTTTTCCTATGGTAAATTACATTGTGTTGTGTTGGGATGAGGCTGAGGACACTCGGAAATGCTCTGTAATGAGCAGCAGCAACCAAGTCTAACAAGAGCATGCCTTTTTTGTAGTTTTGATTCATACACTGGTGGGTCCACACCAGGTCCTGACTGACAGGGTGAGCATCAACAGAGGGTGGCAGCTGTCCCAAACCAGAAAAGTGCCCTCAGCAGCTGTCAGGAGAGAATCCCAGACCTTGTTTGCAGACATAGCGCCGCAATACCAGCCTACAATTACAAACAGACAGTTTGGTACAGTAAGATAGAAGGGTTTCCTATTATTTGAGGGGACTCAAACCCTCCTTCCGCCACTCCCTAATAACTGATCATATTTTCTTTCTCAGTTCATGTTTTAAAGGTACATTATCTTTTCTTGTTGGGGGTCTGCTACATCCCTGGCTGTTGCCATAGTGATGTTATTGCTTTGCCTGGAATGTTCCACATTGAATGCCTGAATGGAGCTTGCTGCATATATTCGGTTTATTTTAATGCTCATAAATACCTTGAAAAACATTCTTCTTCTACTGTAAGCATTTTTGTATCTTCATAGAGCTGACCTGTAACTTGGCCTAATGGTACCTCCTGCTTCTCTATATGAAGAGAAGTTTAATGCCATACTGTCTACACATTAGGCAAAAATATGGTGGAGACATGGATACCCTTAATGAAAAAAGTTGCAGATCTCTGCCGATGTATTATTGATAAAACATCTATTGTTATGGTGCCACTATAATTAAATTGCTGTTTACTGTCTCCAGATACCAACAATAACCAAAAATGATGCAGTTACCAGAGTTGTGCAGGTAGTGGAAGGTGGCGTTAATACAGTTGACCTCTGTAGGATGTTGAGATGGAACAGGACACCTAACTGGAACCCTTTGTGACACGGACCTGATTTTCTGTGCAACCATATCTCTAATCCACATGTGAAATAGAATGTTACATTGGTGGGAAACGTTTCTCTGTAGTTTACCAATTCTGTTGAGTATGCAAATACAAGTCTTTGTTATTCTCAGCCAGGAACAAATGGAGATACAAAAAACTCTAAGACTAAACACTATTACTTATAAACTACAAATTATAACCTACACTACTGATAAAAACTTAAATCAAGTTAATTATTAGTTAATTTAAATTATCTACATTTGTATTTACACAGATTTTAATAATATTTTCTTCAAGTAGGCTACCATAGGCTCTATGATGGCACAATTTTGATTTTGATTTCTGATCGAAAAGGACTGAGTAAAGACTAGATATAGTAGCCCAAAACCTAGTTCTAGACAAGGTGTTTCAGATAATACAACATAGTCTACGAACAGTAAACCTAGGTCTATCATAACCTACCAATTTGTTGTTTATCGTGTGATCACTAAATCCAATTAATTCACGGCCTAGTTAGTAAAAAGAAATAGTTGAACAGTTCTTACCTTTTGTCTAACAAACTCTTCACTGTGCCAATGGATCCACAGTGAAAGTGTAGTTTCTATATTTGCCTACACTAAATGCATGGGGGCAACTAAAATTAATATTGTTCAGCTGCAGATTCTTATTGTAATATGTCTTGGGTCTAGTCAGTAACAGAAATGATCATGTTTGATATGTGGAAATATACCTTTCTGACATTCCGTGGCAAAATACAATATAAATAACAGGAAAAACTGACTCTTGTTCCTGTCTGAAGTATGACATCATCACATCCTAGAATCTGAAAGCTAACCAAACCAATACTGTAACCTACAAAAAAGGCCTTTAATTTACATGGAAACTTGCAGAAATGGGTTGTTCTACAAAATGACACAATTTGTGATAATAAGAGAAAGACCACTTGAAACATATAATTATCTCTGCGCTGAGTTTTCCAGAAAATAATATTTTTCCAGTGTGAGCAGCAAAAAGTGCATTAGGATTCTGCACAGAGGGACTTCCTGGAAAGTGAAGACACCCACCCCTCGCGCCCTAGTGATCCGCCGCTCAAAGCCCTGGCCTCATTGACCTGACTATGAGAATCAAGACCACACACTTGTTACAATGGGGAAAATTATTTATTATTGGACAATGAAAAACAACAGCTGTGAGTTCAACATAGCCATACCTTCTGGGCAATGAGGAAGGCAAGGCAGCCATATGTGACATAGGTGGATTTATATTTACAAACAGAAAAAAGGATCCTTGGCTCAAAGAATGTTAACTATAACCAATAATAGATCAGAAAGATCAAGTTTTATAATAGTACAAAAGGGAAATGCTGAATTTGCCTTGAAATGTGACCTTAATTGGCAAATAAATAATTGGTTACAATGGATTGCATTTTAAAGATAACATTTATCAGCTGTATGGGATTCTAGGACCCCATAGACTATTTTATGGTTGCACCATTCAACAAAATACATTTTGTAGAGTTGAGGATTTGTCTGAACAAAGTTTGGCAGCATTTTGGGAGTTTGTGGAAAGTGAAGATTAATTATGGTTTAGGAAAAGAAATTTGAATTACAGACCACTTGATAAAGAACAACCCCTGATGGATCTGTATTGACTCTATAAAATGAATGAGTAGAGGTTTTGCTGTATTTTTTGTTATATTTGTGTGTGTATAAATGAGCACAGTGTTTAACTTTCCTCTCCATTTTCCCCTTTGATTAGTCGTTTGTTGCCCCTCTTTCCCCCAGGCCCCCGAGGCTTGGCAAATGCCTGCTTCAGAGTGTGCTCCATTGGATGAACCTCTTCATACAGGAAGTCCTCTGTCAGCCCATCACCACTGTCTATTTCCATCTAAAACAACAAACATTTTAGTTTTTATATATATTAGCGCTGATGATGATGCCCCCTCGTGTGTGATCCAAGTGGGCCGTACCTTCTTTGTGACCTCCAATTGGTAGTCCCTCTCCACTTCGTCCAACAGCCTGTTCTTACAGCTCGAATACAGCATCCTCTCTTTGATGCTACAGGTGTACCCTGGCATTGAGTATATGAACACTGAAATGGAAACAAATCATTACACCTTGGGCACTGTAATCACAACTAATGATGTACATTGTACCTTCAAGGGACAAAATTAAAGTATAGCTAGGCAAGACAGACCACGAGACACTATTTTTCGCAGACTCTGGTATAATACTATGCTATATATTATAATATAAAAAGGGTGAAAATTACATTACAAAAATGTTTATTACTATTTTTAACATGTTAAGAGGTATGCAGTTTTTCCTTTTTCTATCAAAGTATAGATTTACATTTTTCATATTGTGCCACACAACAGCGTACTCACCCAGAGCCTCTTGCTGCTGTCCTTGGTGGGAATGTTTGAAGACAAAAAAGTGGTATCTGGGCGAGTCTGAGGGAATCCTGTAGGGCAGCTCATGTGTCTCTGTGGGTTTGGTGTGGACCAGTTCAATGGTTTCTTTATCCACATCCAGCCTCTGCCACAATATACATAACAACAACATGGACCATGCACAAATAATTTTCACCAGATCGACCAATCAGTCAGTGACATTTTACACTCACCAGCTGAATGTAGTTGATGCGTTTCTGCTGGAGTTGTTGCAGAGCACGTTTGGCTTCTTCTTGTAAAGGGAAAGCAAGACCCTGCAGTGTCTGGGCTCTCTTGTCTAAACCAAACTCCATTGTCACCTGTAATCACAATAAAGTAAAAACATAGGTGGACACTGTCGAATCAGTAATAAGGTGAATGTTGTTTTGAAATCTGAATATTAGGTATACATTGTTGATAATAACAAACCACCTCAAAATGCAGCATAAGGAGCGAATTAAAAATAAAAATAGAGCAAACATCTTGTAATGTTTCACTGTTTGTACAAAGTAGGACCGGGAATCACAGGGTTCTTTGCGATTCGATGATACATTTTTCACAATATCGCCCATAACCGTATCACGTCACATTTACTATCACGATATATCAATATTTTGATATTTTAGCACAACCCTAGTACAAAGGGATATTTCTGCATGTTTGTAATACATTTTGCAGTCACATTTGTTTGCTACTTAAACCTCAACTAATACATATAAAAACATGTTTAGCACATTTCTGTCAAAATATGAATATCGCTCACCCCTATGTAGAGACATTTATAATATAGAATATATTATATTATCAAACAACACAAACAGCTAGTCATTTTTTCTCACCTTTGCTCGTGCAGTTGGTGTCCCAATTCGTCTTCGCTCGTCCTGTGGATTATCAATATGCCAGGTGCTCATCAGCATTGAAAAATGCAATCTGCAAACCTAAGTTAAAAAAAGTTCTTACCCAAACAACTTTATCCTGTAGGAAAGCAAAGCACATATAATAAAGATTGATATGCATATGCTGATAATTATAAAACACAGTATATTGTTTGCTTGCTTATTACCTCTGTGACTTTAATTCGTTGTAGCTCCTGCTCTGCTGTTGTTAGTGGAGCTGGAGATGATCGGGAGGAAACATGCTTCAAGTACCCCTGAAGGCACACATCATCCTGTGTAAAAGTGTCCAGAATGTTGTTAAAGGTTAGAGATCACTCAGGTTTGTTATAATCTGAGAGGTTATAAATTAAAAGACAAAGTAACAAACCGCTATTGTGCCAAACACTTCGTCTTTAATGTGGCCCCCTCCAAACTCTTTCTTTAGTGTGGCACGCGTTGCTGCATACATCATCTTCTGCCTTACCTGAAGGGGATCAGTGAAAATAACACATTATCAGTCTTAAAGTCTGTTTAGAGAGGGACAGTAACATGAATAAAGTATCTGAAGGCTTTCAGTTGTCTGGGTCATGGTATATTAGTTTGTAAGTTCTATTCAATGGATATTATTACACTGAAGAAATAAAGGAGCCTTTTGATACAAAACAGACAATGTCTACATAAGCTGAACCAAAAAAGGTGCTTTTAAAATGTTTCTATATCTTTCAGTGGTTTTGTTTTTGGAAAAAGACATAAAATAACATAATTCAAATGACAGTGATTACTCTTTCCAAACATACTGGTGATTGGTCAGGAGACCAGGCAATGAAGATCCACTCATATCCCTGTGCGTTCTTGGAGTCCAGTCTGTAAAGCAAGTAGCACGGCTCCAAAGGCGTCAGAAGAGGAAGCAGGAAGTGGTCATAGTCTTTGTCCCAGCTCTGCCCAGGTTCTCTGTAAAAATCTAGCACCAACTGCTCTGTACATGAAACATCATTATTTAATACCAGCTTATATCTCCCCAAAGGAAATCAACTACTGCAATCAAGTACAATGTTTACTTACCATTTCTGATGACAATCTTGACAATTCTAATGGCACCTCCCCTCGCACGGGCCAGAAATTCTTTCAGGTCAGGTGTAGCTGAAGTAACCAGAGATACAGCAGACAAGTTAAAACTGAAGATGGGGGTTGAAAGCACCTGAGACAGAGTTAGGTAAGTAAGAACCTGAGCCTGTACTGCACATTTGATCCACTGCCAGACTGTCACACTATCACCTGAAGGAGCTCTGACAGGGGGCATGCTCACAGGACAATACACATACAGACTATTCAAAATATAAATTTTAACACTGATTACAGTTAGAACTATAGTGCCATTTCACTAAGCTTGGTTTATTGGCACCTCTCCCTTCATGTCCGTCACCATGGAAACCTAACAGAGCGTCTCATTAATGATGAAGGATCATGTGAGAAAGGTGAGAGAGGTATGCTTCCGCAGAACTGTCCTCCAGTGCTCCAGTTACAAAATGCCATAACACTCATATCAAACACAGGCTTCAGACTATTCATTAGTAGATATAAGTAATGGTTTCTCCCTGGTCACGCTTACATACAGTAACATTTGCTCTGTCTAGATGTGAACCTACAAGCAATTTGATTAATACAGTTTAAATAAAGAACAACAATGAAATAAATGAAAATATAAACACACAGAAATATTGTATTAGGGTATGGATTATGAGACAAAATTATTTAATTCCAAACTTAAGTAATATATTAATATAGATGGAAAATGTAATAAAATGTACAAACATGTTTAAAACAGATAAGGAAGAAAAACTAAACTAACTAAAACTAAAAGACTAATTCCAATTAAGAAATCAGAATTAGTTACAGGGAACATGCATTACTTATATTAAATGTTTGAAGCTGAAAAGGGTCAAACAATGTATAAGATTCAAAGAATTTTATTTAATAAATAAGCATAAACAAAGAAGAGACAAGTCATGAAAGACTGACACAGATTCACATTATTAGTGATAGTAAAAAAAGACTTACCGATTATTCCTGTTTGATGTGACATCTTTTGGCAGGCCTCTTCACTCTCTTCTCATGCACAGATGTCCCAGTCCAGAGCTGTGTGTGTGTCCTGAGGTCTCTCCTTCCTCTCTGGTAGGTCGACTGCTTCACCTGTGCACTGCCAGACAGAGGGACCAACACGCACTGACATAGACCTGCCCCGAGGGAGACTGAGGAGACTCCTAACAACTGAAATATAATCTGCGGAACTGTGGCTGATGAGTAATAACGTGCCTGTCAGTGGAGCTGCCTCCTTAACCACTGATGTAAAACTCTTTGCGTATCGATGACCACAAACTTTAAAGCTCTTTGCGGGGGGCGAGGCCTCTGTCACATACTGTAGACAGTGTGCACAACAGCGGAGAGGAACCCGATGAAAAGCAGCAGGCTGCGCAGTAAGAAAAAACTACCAATCATGACATCAGGGTTACAGATGCCGTCACTGTAGCTCATGTAAATTACATTTTATCACTCATTCATAAAGAGCTTAGCTTCAACAGATGCAACTGCTCAAGCTCTAATATCCAGCCACCTGGTCAAAGAAATCCGACACCAGGCCAGAAACTGACCACAATGTTACAATACAGATTCTCTGACCCAAAATGTTGTGTCCACTGTGGGTAGGGGGTCAACGTAGAAAAATATAGTACTATGAAGAGGCAATATAGTCTTACAAAAATTGGTAAATAAAAAAAAAAAAGTAAATATAGTTTATAAACAAAGGATTCTGGTAATTATATAGGTCAAAATTAAAGCTACATAAATTTGAAGGATTAACAAAAAAAGCTGCATACAAGAACAGCACAAGGTGCACATAGGGAGTCTCCAAAAATCTATCCAACTATTCTCCCCCACCTCTTAATTATGGCTGTATAGACACGGGCCTGCACAGGTGGGTGATAAGTGTGTACCTGTGAGGTTACCTGTGATGGGTCATGTATTATTCACTCAGTGGTGAGTACACAGCCCAAGCCCTCTGCATTATTCAACAGAGCCCCCACCTTTCTGCAGCAGGAAGACACACTTTAGTGTCCATAGACAAACACTAAACAAAAAGACACTCATTCATGACATCAATTAGATATAGGGACTTCTCTGTGAGTAAATAATGGCTGACTGAACTTTATCATGAAATGTGTCAAAATGTAAATAAGGCATGCAATAATACTCAGTATAAAATTTTATTGTTCAATTCAACCCCAACACTACAAACCAATGCGCCTGTATAGACTCACGATACTATTCCTGCAACACTTGGCAGAGCAAGAAAGAGGTCATTCGAACCATACTTATTATTACCACTACTTGTTCCATATATCAATAACACAGTAAGTAAATGGTTCCATAATGGTCTAACTCTGCTATATCCAGTATTTATTTTGCATGTCATTAAAACACTATTAAAATAGGAACTAGATACGGTAACTTTTAAAATAAACATAATTTGCAATATATATAAAAAGACCTGTTAAAAAAGTATAAAACTACCATGACAATGATATGAGATACATCCAAATTATTAAAATACTGTAGGAAAAAGTTTGACATAATTAAAAGTTGTGTGATTCTATACATAAAAAAGCAAAAACTCTTCTGAGATTTTCTTTAAAGGTCATCAACACAGGGGAGCCAAAATGTCTGTTGATAGAACAAAAAATATATTATACGTTTAGACTATGGCTGTAAGCTTTTGTGTTTGGTGTATGGTTGGTTTAGTTTTTACCATGTTGGAGCATGCACTTGCAAATGTCATATATCTGGGGTTGAACTGCAGGGAGTTGATGGGTCCTGGATGTTTGCCATCCAGCACAGCCACCTTCATCCCACTGTCAGTACTCCAAACATGGACTCGCCCATCCTCTGAGCCTGCGGCACATATGGTTGGAGAAGAGACAATGTGAGATAGAAATTATGAATATTACAATAACAGGATTTTTCAGATACTATCACATAAGTTTGCTTGCATAAAAGCTACTCATTTAAAGTTATTAGTCCAAATCAAAATTTAAGAGAAAAAAAAAAAAAAAAGCGCTAAATTATGACTACCTTGACAAAAACAAACACACTCACACAAAATGAATATTTGACATTACATTTTTATAGTATGTTTTCTTACTGAACTTACTTACAGAATATAGCTTTGTGTATGACTTGATATATTGTATAAGCAAATAATTAAATAAAAAATAAAATATTATGTGCATGTGTACACACAGTGAACATTATAAAAAACAATTGGTTAAGTATAGGGTTAAGTTTCAAATCTCACCAATCATGACAAATTGAGAGTCAGGGGTAAAGCACGCCTCTAATGGAATACCTCTGCTGTTGTTGTAACCCTATGAAACACATGGCCAAATAAATATAAATGAATGTAAAGACTGGATTAGTGTTTAGACAGGAAGCTTACTGAAAAGGTGTGTAGCACTGCTCCACTGAAAGCATTCAAGACACGAATCATCCCTCCATTTGTAGAGATGAGAATCTGTTTGCCATTATAACTGAATTTAAGTCCAGTCCAGTCACACAAACGATTAAAAATTGTCTCAAATGAAGCAAAGGGGCCCTTAAAACAGACAAAGACTGTTTTAAATGGTGATACATTTAGTAAACATAAATTTTAAATTATGTATTTTGAGTATACACACACATAGAACAACAAAAGAACAAATATTGAACATATGCGTTTCTTTAGAATGCCATGTGGTCTTGTACTTGGTCAGAAATTGCTCAAAATCATTCTAAATCTATTCATAAAATGTCAATTTGTCAATCTATGTGATATTTTTAATCTCTAGTTTTAGCATGGATTAGTATCTGGGTATTGATTTTTAACAACTCTGAACAACATCAATTAAAATAAACAAGTCGTTTTATCTAATTTTGGTACCTTGTCAAAAGCTCGTAGGTCATATAATTTAAGAAGCTGTGAGTCAACACCAGCAGCAAATATCAGACCATCAGGGTCAAAGGAGCACACAGGTGTCCCCAAAGGATTGGTTAGGCCCTGAAACATCATGTGTGAAATGCATACAAAGATATAGAGTTGACATTTTCAAATAAAAGTTGGTTATAAGGTGTTCTCTCACCTGACAGTTCGGTGAGCGCAGATCCCAGATGCGAATTGTCTTATCCAAAGAACTTGAGATAAATGTGTCATCCACAGGCGACATTGAGAGGGAAATGACACTGAAAAGGAATGTAAAACAGAAATATATAAAAAGAAACTGCATCTGGTATCTGGTAATAATAACAGAATAACTCTGTAATAGCGTAAAATGCTTTGATTTTGAGTTAAATGTTGTTTTACCAACCTTGCTGTATGGCCTGGAAAATATCTGATGAATTTGTTGTCAGTTAGGGAAAGATATCTGATAGTATCTGTACATCAGGAAATATTTTAGTACATGTGTATTCATGATTAGAAAAGGTAACTATAATATAATAAGCACCATCCAGTTTGTTGGAGCTGAAAACCACAGTGTCCACATCACTGTGTGTGTAGCGGATCAGATCAACTCCATACTTTTTGCTGTACAGGGTTCCTGATGGTCTGAATAATAACACGTTTACATTACACATTATACAACCACACGTTTACATTACACATAAAAAATATATTATTTATATTCACCTTCCCTCTTCCCTCATGTCATACAATATAATAGAGTCGTCGTCGCTGCTAGATACCGCATTTTCACCGTTTGGGCTGAAATCCACACAGTTGACTTTCTCTACATGCTCCCGGTAGGTCCTTGCGACTCTAAAACTTCGCAAAACGCCATCTGTGATTCTCATGTTTTGAGGTTTATGCAAAGGTATGCTAGGGTGAAAACAAATGTGCATTCAATTTTTTGAAACATCTGCGGTGCATTGCTCCTCTTGTTCTATCCTCACGTCAGTTTGAAGGTTTCGTTTTACCTGTTCACTGATTTAATATCCGTTAAAAATACATAAAAAGGCAATTTTCTACATTTTGAACTTCGGTCCGTAGAACATGCCGTCAACCATTATCACCATGTATTGATGTGCTTGTTGTCCTGCGTTGTCCGAGTGCGCGGTATTAATAATGATAATTATCTTTTTGCCTACATGCTTCCGACGGGCAGTACAGATAAGCAAAACGAACAAACAACAGAAACGACCTACTGGGACGAACGCCCTTTCAAAATAATGTTTATAGTAAAACATGTTCAAGTACAGGGACTCTAAATCAATCCAACTCTTCATAAACGTATTTTACCAATACCTTCTCATCGCGTTTTAGGATATATTGATGTGTTCTAGTCGCAAGATCACACCACTTTTTACTTTTGTGCAAATAAGATAAATATTTTGAAAGAGCGGAAGTTTACATTACGACTAGCATGGGCCTTCTGAAGAAAAGCTAACACGTGAAGGATCTGAACATGAAATTCTGTAGAAATATAGTTCGCAGAGAGTTTTGCCCATTTCTTTATCATTCACCAACGTGGGCACAATGTCGCAGACTACAGCGGTGCTTACGGGCCCTGAGCACTTTGGACACAGACCCGAGAGACAAGCCTCGACTTCGAGCAGTGGACCTGGCCGATAAGGTCCAGAAGGAGAAACTGAAGACCCAGATAGACCCGAACCCTGTGTCCGCATTACAGCAGAGGGTGACTGAGCTCAGGCAGCTTACACGGCAACTCCAAAATGTGCATCCCAACGTGCTAGCCAAACACTTGCATAGAAATGTCCTGTATCAGGATAAGGACCTGGTTATCATAAACAAACCATATGGAATAACTGTGCGAGGTGAAGTGTGTTGAAAGTTTACACAATATGAAGCAATCAGTTGGTAAAAATGTAGTCTGTATGTTTCAGTTATCTTACAAGTTATATGAGTATAAAATATATGAGAGTATGTTTAATGGTAATATAACAGATAATACATGTTGCTCTTCCAGATGACTCCACAACAAACTCCATGTCCATCTCCAGTGTGCTTCCTGTACTGTCTAAACTGATGGATGGGATGAAAGTGAAGACTGATTCTCTGCTTCTGCCTTGTCTGGGTTTGGAGAAGGAGGTCACAGGGGCTCTTCTGTTAGCTCGAAGTTTAAAAGCTGCAGAGCATATAGCCTACCTACATAGTCACAACCAAGTGCAAAGGAAATACTGGTAAGATTATCGTGTAAAACTGATTTAAGTTCATGGTGTATTCCATTGTCTTTTTTTTTTTCTTCTGATAGGGCTGTCGTAGTGGGTGTACCAGTGCCAGGCGAGGGAGTCATAGATATTCCAATTATTGAGCGTGAGGTCACCGGTCCTCAGCCACATTATAAGGTTATCAATATATCTATTGACTTTGATGTATAAATAAAACTTATTTTAACTGCATTTATTTTCTTTCAGATGTCTCTTAGCCCTCTTTTCAGAATGAAGGATGGTGGAGATGGTCTAACCAAAATGCGAGCACATCGGCAAGCTCAACCTGCGGTGACCAAATACAAGGTTTTGGATAGCAGCAGTGGTTGCAGTCTTGTGGAACTAGAGCCATTGACAGGTAATGAAATAGTTGTCACAGAACTACTATAGCTAAGAAAACAATCTTGATGTCAATTATTTTTGCAGATGTGAAGCATCAGCTGAGGGTTCATATGGCACTTGCCTTAGCTTGTCCCATTCTTGGTGATCATAAATATTCCCATAGGAGTAAGCTAGCACCTCAGGTAAACTACTATTGTAATCAAGTTAAATATTATGCATTGAGTTTGTTGTAACACTATGGACACCATTTCTACTCGTATGTTTCTGATCTACAGAAATTGCCAGAGCGGATACTGAAAAAGCTGAAACTAGAGCAAAGCAAGAGCCGTAATCTTCCTCTTCACTTGCATTCTCGAGAGCTGACAGTTCAACAAACGTCAGAAATTAACCTGACCTGTTCTCTGCCTAAATACTTTTTCCAGACTTTGGGTCTTCTGCACCTAACTTTTACAGATGAAAAAGACAAATAATGCAATTAAAAATTGTAATCTTAGAGAGCCATTGTGTGTGTTTTCCCAAAATAAACGATGATCTACAGTATCTATAATGTGATTTCACAGAATTCAGTGTTATTTTGCTCTGGACCCCACGTGGATGACTGAGAGATTACAGAGAGACCTTTACTAATTCATTTTATGACTAAATATGAGAAAAAAGCACTTAAGAGTTTTGCTTCTATTTTATAGTGTGAACATGGTATATATACACAGACAAGTGATCAGACATATACATCCCATATAGTAGCCAATGTAACCAACTTTCTTAGAAAAAAAAAAATCATTGAACTTTTCTAAGAGCACAATTAGCACTTGTTTTAGATGAAGAGACTTCGGTCTTATGCGAAGCGTAAATGATCTCATTTGAGAAAACAGGCACATATTTTTTACTTTGAGCAAATCATTGTGATAATATATTTTCAACAAACTAAATGAATGCTGGTCTGTGTAAAGATATTAAAATTGAACCGTGAATGGTTTTGTCGGCACAAGGTTAAATATCCCCTTTTATACTGACCTATACATGCATCTGGAAATTAGTCATTTTCTGTGATAGCATCTCCTGAGCTCAAATCAAAATCGAATTTTGTCCAACTGCTGATGCAAAGACAAAGGCTTGTCCAACTAAGATCCATAAATTGTCCAGAAAAGGCTTCCCTGGAAACAGGGCAGATGTTTCTTGAACCTCTAACATGGCCAGTTAATAGGGTCAGGCTGGCTACTGCATAGTCCACATTCAACAACGTCCCATTCACCCAGTCAGTCGGTCCTGTTCTTTTAACTTATGGCCACTGCAGTACTGAAGAACAATTCCTGGATCTCTTGGACCACAATGATTCGTGAGAGCATTTGTTCTACTTGCTGACTGTTGAGTGGCTGAGATGAATACCACATTGGGCTATTGGGTGCCACTACAGGCTCTGGAGTCATATAGTATGCATCATTTCGACCTTTGACACTCTGTGGACTGAAGGAGAAAAAAAAATTTTTGCTTAAACATTTGGTATACTGAAAAAATGTGTGCAAGGGTAACTTACCATTTGAAGAGATAAAAATCATATAATTTTATTGGGCAGCGAAGTGGGTTATCTGGTTCCTCAACCTGCTCTTCATACATTTCATCACTCACTAAAATGAGGAAATTACTTCATTTACTCAAGTGATTTGAATTTAAAATGCAAATTTCATAGCCAAGAAAGTACCTTTTGCACCAGGACTTGTTAATCCTGGTCCTTTCAGAAGGCGGATACTTGTTGCTTTGTCTTTAGAATTTCCTGGGTTTTTCCTAGCATGTCTCAAGACTTTGGAGAAAGCAACTTTCATGTGCTGTTCAGGTGTTATGAGACGGAAATATCTGCCATATCAGATCAGAAACAGGCACACAAGTTAAAAGAAGAAAATAGAATCGACTTCAGTTTCTGAAACATTTTTGATGCTCACTTAGTGTTGAAGTACATTAAAGTTGTAAGTAGGGTTGTTGGAGAGTGTGCACCAAGCTGCTTGCATTCCCAGAGCATCTCCTCAGTCACATGACTTGGAATAATGTAACCTATGCAGGCACGATACAATGTTTATACTAAAGTATAAGCTTTAAAAAAATAAAGTAACTGTAGGTTGTATTACCAAGAGGATGAACACTGGGTTTCCAGCCATCCAGAAGTTTGTGCAATGATTCAGAAAAACGTGTGTAATATGGATCAGAGAAAATGTCGTCAACGCGTCCATTTTCAGACAGATACTGTAAAAGTAAAAAGAAAACAAGTTCAATTTCAATGAATTGTGCAAAAGCAAATCAAAGAGCTTTTAAAGTTACCAGTACCTTTTGTATGCATAAGAAAACATAATAAAGAACATCAGGTGAAAACTCCTCTTCATCCAATCCACGAGCCTCTTTAGTCATCAGTGAGAGCCAGGTTCAACTCAGCCACTGCACTAGACACCAAGTCCTCCTGAAAACGCAAGGGCTGGCGACCTATAAATCCAGCCAAAGATTTTGAACTTTCTTTCTTCATTTGCAAAGACTCTTTCAAATGTAATTTTACAGGTGCAGAACACTATTTGTGTAATTCTAGTACATCACTACCAATCAAGAAATAATATTAGGCACAATAATTTTATAATGTTATTATACGCTATTGTGAAACTTTAATCACTTACGTCCAATAGGTGCCAACTTAGTTTTTTCTTGCTTGATAAGCTCTGCATTTTTGCGCTTTGCCCATAATTTCCAGACCTCCAAACCCTCTTCTGGCTTTAGGCAAACAGGAACCAGGATCTCTGCTGAAGCCTCACCTTGGCCTTCAGTCTCTACTTGAGCCTTAACAGAATAACAGAATTACAAAATGGTTACTTCATTACATTTATAATAATAATAGCTTTTGAAATATATGAAGGATCAAGTCCCAACCTGCAGGTGGAGCTGCTGTTCCTGTCCCTGTTCTACTTGGTTCTGTTGTTGATTTGGATCCCAAATGTGCACAGACTGTGTGGTGCCGTATGCTCCCCCAACAGTCTGCACTGCCACGGGGATGTGAATGTTTCCATTCATAAACTGCGCAGGGAATAGTGTCTGAACCATTTCTTCCTGTGTTCCTGAAGCGGCCTGTACATCCACAGAAGTGGATGAATTTGGAGACATATTGTCTTTTCCATTGGTTGTGGTTACCTGCACTGTCCCGTATGCATCTTGTGGGATGGCAATGTGAGTGACACCCTGCTGTTGAGGTGTTGAATACACTGGGATGGTCCAAGTCTCTCCTGAAGGACCAGTGATTGTACCTGTCGTACTATATAGCTGAGCACTGTCCACAGTCAGCAGATCTGGTCGTAAGGACACATAGCTTTGCTGTTGCCCTTGAGGAATGGTGAGAACTCTGGCTACTTGCTGTCCCTGTGGAACAGCATAGGACACAGCGACAGGAACATCCACCTTGCGCTTTTTGGCAGGCTGAAGCACAGTCGACACAGAACTGGCCCTCCGCTCTCCCTCTCTGGAGGAGTCCTCTATAGTCTGTATTTGAATTTGTTTCCCACTTTGCAACTGAATATGTTGTCCATCTGATAACTGAATCTGCTGCCCATCTGAGAGTTGGATTTGCTGGCCAGGTTGTAGTTGGATTTGCTGACCAGGCTGTAGCTGGATGTGCTGCCCTCCTGCCAGCTGAATTTGTTGGCCACCTTGTAGTTGAATTTGTTGGCCACTAGACAACTGTATGGATTGACTGCCTGCCACAGCTGCGACCAGCTGTGCTTGAATCTATAAAATACCCACAATGTGTTTAGTGAGTGGTAAACAGAAATATCACAGGAAAGTACTATGTACCTGCTGCTGTTGCTCTTCAGTAAGCTCTCCCTGTTGAACAAGCGCTTGAAGGTCCTGTTGTGGAGAGGTAACCTGAAGAACATGGCTCACTGTTTGTCCCTGCTGTCCCTGGATTTGAACCTGAAAATAAACACAGATGTTTCAGTTGTTGCTTGTAAGTAGGTCAGAGCAGTAAGAAATTACCTGCACTTGCAGGGGCTGTTCAGAAAGTTGTGGTGAGATTTCACTTGAGGTCACCTGTACCTGTACCATAGAACAACATTTATTTACTATCTACACTATCTACAAAATTACTGATTATGCAATTATAATGTAGAAGGAGATTGTTCTTACAGGGCAAGCCAGCTCCAATAGAGACCCTGCCACTTCTGTGCTGTCAGTGTAGACACAATTGGCATCTTGCTGCTGGTACACCATGGTGGTAGTAGTCACAGCTTCTTCCTGTTCACTGAATTCCTGAAGCACTTCTGAGCCTTTGGAAAGAGACTCCAAAAACTCCTTCATTTTGTGCTGAGGCACTGTGCGGGCCTTTTGCCGCACGTATTCATCAAATGAGACAACTCCACTCTCCTGCTCATTCATATCTACTTCACCTAAGAAACAAAGCATTTCAACATGTAAGATTCATACGTTCATAGCAGATCTCGACCATGATCGTCTGTTATTACTCGTTTATTCCGAACTAATATTACATATAGCCTCATCATAACTGAATGCAGCACAACACAGTAGAATGTGAATTTTGTCTTTGAGAACACACAAAGTGCAAAGTCCATTTTGTGCAATCCTTAAATAATTTGATTAAACTGCACGTTTAACCAAACTAGTGATTATATTTCAAAATCACCAAACTGGCGACTGGGCAAATGTCACCTGAGCATTTGTGAAATGTGTAAAATTGGTAGTTAGCCTTAGCTTCACTACGATAGCCATACATTGTTTACTTGCAACCAATTAGTCCAAAAAACATAACGCCCACTGCAGTGGACACAGCATGCACACATTGTAATTTGTAGTTTAGACAATGTGTATAATTATACGGCTGTCACCAACAATAACAATTCATTGCAGGCTTGGTTAGCTACTAGCTAGTCGCTTTGCTAATGTTAGCCTATTAGCTTTGGATCTGATCATGCTACCTTAAATAAAACGAAATCCTCTTCTTTCCGCGAAGGCACGATGTTTAAAAGTAAAAAGCCGATAAACCTCCAACAGATACCACCAGGACGTCCGCCTCCGCGCTACATAGCCGAGCAAGCACGAGCAAAAATCCTCAAAAATTAATTACTTTACAATAAAATGTTGGAGGAGCTACAGCAGCAGGCGAGGTCTCTGACGATAGCCTATTCAAGACGACAACGAGGCAGCCCTCGTCTGAACAAATTTCCTGCTACCACAGAAAAATGTCTGTCTTGCTCCAGGTGAACATAAAATTGTTCCATGTACTGAGACGTCTTTTGGTAGAAATAGTCTTTAAAACAGAAAAAAACGAATAAAAATACACATATATAAATAGTAGGCCTTGAAAAACAAGTTCCCCCATTTGCTTATTCTTGTGTAGTCACAGCACTGTGATGGATAGAGGAGATGACCAAAGATCCCTACTCATTTTATTTTCAATATATTAATATAATGTTACTGTATTATTCAGTAATGGCTCAACTCAGTCTCACAACATGGCAGTCTTTATAATCATATATTTGATAAAACTAGACTTGATAAAACTAGGTTTCTTGTAAATGTGGTTCTGTGAAATAAAGATATGATCAATTCATGTTTCATAAGCTCCGTATACGTAGCACCTAAAGGCTTTGAAACCTTGTTCTTGATGTGGGGACACCCATTAGAATGCATGTACCTTTAACAACATCTAACTTCGCCAGTCTGCCTTAAAGAGCCAGGCATGTGCCAGTGAGTGCCTCCCCAGATTTCCCCACAACAAACTGCCTCTCAGCCTTCTTAAGGTGGACCGCCAGAGATGCACTTCACCAATGGGCTACGTCTAGTTGGTGCTAGACATGAACGGGTTAATTCCCACACTCTCAATACTGTTCTCTCCATGTGATTTTGTGATTTGACCACTGACTGTATATTTGACATAATTATGTTTATAGTTAGTGTGCTCATCTATAGAGCCTGTATTGACCCTCTGAAAAGATACTACATCAGAAAGGTAAATATTTGGTGCAATTAGAGGAAAAAATCAGCAAAGCAGACGAATGCTAAATGATTGTAAGTCTTTATAACAAAAGCAACTATTCTGATGAAAATGTATTTTTTTAAATGTATTTTTTAAACTTTTTCGATTCCAACAATGGGAAAAATAGCCTCAAAACTGTATTAAGGTAATTGTTGGGCAGCATAGCTATATATCTGTATCTGTAAAGTGGTGTTCATTTACCAAACCCCCTCTATATTTAACTTTTTTTGATATTCTGTGGCTAATCCCAGTTTCTCCACTGAAAGTGTATTACGTATTAATGTGAAGATCAGTGCGCTCAGCACTGATTTGAATTACAGATCAGAATTTTATGGTAGGATTGACCATTTTAAATGTCAAAATGCAGACTGCATTATTTTTTTCCCTTGCAACCCATAAGAATACACATAACACAAATGTATGTCCTGTTGACTCTGCTTTATCACTTCATGTGACTTGTGCGACTTAATGTAATCCTTTAGAAAGGGATTTACACAGTGGCAAAGCACAACTGTTAAAAGTAACACTTAGTTAAACTAAGCACTATTGGCCTATTTGATCATCTGTTTGTGCTTTTTAAACTTTGGAACACAAGTTCACATATCTTTGCATATTACTCTTAATATATACAGCCAAAATTAAATTTTGTAGTATTGTGATATGAAGATGCCAAGAAAGCAGCTGGTGCTGTAATGAGTCAGATGTCTGCCTAAAGGGATGCTGGTGATAAGTGAATCAACAAGCAGACGATGCACAAGCTGCGACTAAGGAGGATACACTGGCACTCCAGGTGAGCACTTTAATTTGTAAATAACTTAAACGGTGTAGTGTTTTTAGATTGCATTATTTTCAATGTAAAATTCAGTAGTGTACATAATGATATACAAAGTTAAGATCTTCAGTAATTAGACACAAGAGCTGTAAAATGCTAATAATCAGGAAATGTGATGCTGTTATGTTCATGTATTCAACTTTTTATATAGAAATGAGCAATGTATGAAAATGTTGAAAATGATTATGTTCTATAATAATTCTATAATAATTGCCATCATTATTATTTCTACAGGTTTGATCAGAACACAAGATGAGATTTTCTGAAAGGTTAATTTTGCTCCTCGTGTCTCTGGGAAACCTTTTTCATTTTATACAACCTTTAGGGCACTCGGTATGGAGCACTGACACTGAGAAGAAGCGGTTGGGTGTTTTGGCTGCTGAAATAAGGCACCATGTCGACAGAAGCGGCTCAACTGAAGGCAGTGGACAACGAACCTCCATTTTAAAGGAGTTAGACTTACTGTTATCGGATTGGCAAACAACAAAGTCTTCAGTCAAATCTTGGGGATCACCTTTCTCTATGAACCTAGAAAAAACATCTATTAAAGAAGGTTACGGGACAGTGGACGACCACAGTGGTAAGTGTTTTTGTCAGATAAATTTAACACCATGTTACTTATAACTTAAATATTCCATTTGAATTCTTTCAGATGAAGACCTTCAAAAACCTGTTAACATAATTGTTGTTACTTCAAAGACCAACCAGAATCCAGGGCCTACAGAGAGCTGTTTGTTTGGAGCAAGTCCTTGTTTAATTCCCACTAGTTTCAATGGCACGAGCCTGGTCTGGGATGACATGAAACGCACCCTGGCATTTGCTTGGGAGCTTCATGTCTTTGGATCTGCCAGTCTTTTCTTACTGCTGATGCTGCTAGGAGTTTTAGGAATGTTTTATGTGCATACACTCCCTCCACCTCTACGTGAAGTCCTGATTTTGACAAACAGTCTTGTGGTCATCAGTGCCTCTCTTCGTGGAGTCCTGCTTCTTCTGGATCCATATGGGACCCGACAGATTCTATCTCGAGCTTCATTTACTGCTCTGCACAATGTTTCTGTGCACCTTTTGCTTTGGGCACAGACCTCGCTGGCCCTACTTACACTACGAGGAATGACACTACTGTTTTTCCAGTTAGATGTGCAGCATTGGTGGGTGGTTGGTGCACTGGGGCTAGCACATTGTATGCCGTTAGTAGTTGCAGATCTTTATCCCTCAGCTATATCACATGCGCTTCCACTTTTACTACAAAGTCTGTCATTGTGTTGGGGTATCCCCTTGGGTTTAGGCACTGTCATGAAGTCACTCTCTAATTTACCACAGTTTTTAAGGTCCTCTTTACCACAATGGATGCCCTCTTACAGGGCAGAAATGTGTGCAAAAAGGGTGACTGCAGCCTGTGCTGTCCTTGGGGTTCTGAGCAGCACTCTCCACATGTATAGCATCCTCTGGCTTTATGGACTACTGGGGAACTGGAAACGCTTTGGCTGGGGCTGGTGGCTCTGTCAGTTTTGGGGAAGAATTTTAGAGTTATTTTGGTGTTTATCTCTCATTGTCTTGGGGCTCTGGATTTCCTGCACAATATCAAGAGGCCATTCAAAAAGCAAATGTAAACCTTGTAAAGATGTAACAGTGCTCAACAAGGTGCTTTCTCAGTTTAGAAAAGGACCACTGAGAAAACCTGAGAAAACTTGGGAAGAACTAATGCCAAACAACTGGTCAAAGTATAAACTGTCACGAGCAGGAATCAGCAGTGCAATGGCCACACATGATGACCACTCATATAAGTCAGAGTACACTGATCCAGTTAGCACCACCAGTTGTGACTCTCAGGCAGCAGTACTGTGGCAGAACATTAGTGAACGAGAATGTGTCTTGTCCTTAATAGATTTTAATATGGTGCCTCCTTCTCCCATTAATCTGAGATGCAGCATTGACAACGCCCTGATGTCTAGAAGTCTGTTCATAGCTCCTCCTCCCTCCTGGACTCAGTCTGTCACAGACATGCTTCCCCCTGCTTACTCCAGCTTCAGCTGGCCCATGGATACTGAGTCTATCACTGCATCTCTGGATCACTTTCAGACCAGTGAGTCTCCCTGGTTTACCAGAGACCATAACAATAGACCCACAGCAGACACTGAAGATGAACTCAGTTCTGAACTCTGTTCCAGTGTGAATCAATATGAGATATCTGATGATGATATTAGAAACATATAGGCCTAACATTTGCTTAGGGTTGTTGCGAAATAACAGTATTTACAATTATTGATACATGTTTTATATTTTCAAATTCAGTAGTGTTACATTACCTTGTAATTAAAGACAAAGCACAGTGAGTGCCTACTTAAAATGTAAATAAATCCCTTTTAACTTGATAGTGTGATTTATCCATTACATAATTCATTCTAACCTTAATATATTGTAATATATAATATATAATAAATATAATATACATTTATATATATATATGTGTGTATGTGTGTGTGTGTGTGTGTGTGTGTACATATATATATATATATAATATATATATCAAACTACATCAACATGTTTGTAATATTAAAATTAATACTGAACCTCTCTCTCTCTCTCTCTCTCTCTCTCTCTCTCTCTCTCTCTCTCTCTCTCTCTCTCTCTCTCTCTCAATTTTTGGGGGGACCAACTACAGCAACAGCTGCGCCTCCTGGTGGTACTACCTCGGCATTGTATAATAACCAGCTTTATCACAATAATTGAATAATATGCTCTCCATTGCTCCATTGATAATCTTCCTGGGCTCCATGGCTTCTCTTTCATGCTCATGTGTCCACACTTCTAACACATTTAACCTCTTGTCCCACATAGTCCCCTCACACCAGTCACTCCAAAACCTACAGTTTGCCACATATTCAGGAGTATTCAATCCGTTTGATCTCCATTCACAATCACCATATCTTTAATGACTACTAAAGAGCCCGTGGGGGCATCTGTCATTCACTTCTTCAGGACAACTCCAAGCAGGTAACAAACCTAGCCAACCTCAGAACCATCCCTATTCGTCATAGCTCCCAGGCTTAAAAAATCCAGAGCAAAACTCTGCGTATTCAAATAAAGATATACATAAATCCATGTTTTCTGGGTTTTTTTTGTTTTGGTTTTTTGTTTGTTTTTTTCATCCAAAAGGTGCGACACTGAATAAGCCGACTCAGTCAATACTTAATAAAACAAAACATACTGTAGATTAACAAACTTGTGAGTTGGTCTCTGATTTAAAATGGTCACGTTTCAAAGCAGGTATTTGTTTATTATGATTATGATTGTGATTATGATTATGATTATTATAGACCAATTGGCCGATTTCAATAAAATCACTAGACATTTTTCAGCTTTCTAAACTGTGAGTGATGACTGTGAAATCTATCTCCAAAATCATAGCCTATTACTATTAATTGTCTTTCAGATTTGTCCTGAGTGGATGATGCTCGCTCAGCTGTTCTGACGCATGGCACGTTGTTTGACGTCATCGTGGGAGTGTCTCGTCGAAGAAATGAACGGTCACCAACACAATCCTCTCAGCGCCCATGTAAGTTCACCCTGAAAATCACGCGTTTTACTAACTTAAGCTATGAATGGGATTTTCACAGTCTTTGTCCACTGATTAGCTGTAGGGATAGGGTTGATAATAGTTGTTTTTCTTGGAATTCGCGGACGTTTGGCGTTGTGCCCTGTTTGCCTATAGCTAACCATGGCTAAAAGATGTTTTTTTTAGCAAGACCTAGCCAGCCTGCTAATGACAGGGGAGCGTGTGTTGGTTTAATGCACGATGTACGCCGGCGCATAGGCAAAACGGGTAATTACAATATTGCAGTGATAGATTTTGTGAGGCAGCTCCCAGGCCTTGATGTATTAATTGTGTAATGACTGATATGCAAGATGACAAATTAGATGTGTCCTAAACTGGACTATCAAACTGATTTTATATAGATATAGATATAGATATAGATATATATATATTCACAATGTTTCACAAGTCAGAATCTCACATTCGTTGTTTTTAAAATTCAACATTATTCAAAATTCAACATTATTACTGTTTCTTGTGGTTTATTCGTTTGTAAACTAAGACGTAATGCAAAGTGAAGCACAGTGGTGTATTACTGCTATATAAGACGGAGCTTGTGTAGAAGCCATAGACTGTATAAGCCATATACCCACCTCGTCGGCGTGCACCGTGAAGTAAAATAAACGCCCATGCTTTACCATGCTAGCTTCAGCTGTTAGCTTACAGTCATCTTAAATTTGTTGGTGTGTTTATTGCCCTCGTTGTGTCTCAATACTTGAATAGTCTAGCGATAATTATACATTCAAATTAGATAATCTACAATACACATTACTGCTAGCTAGTTCTGTAACATTATGCCTAAAGTTAGCTGGTTGCTTGTTAGTGTCATCTTCATTTCACAAATCATTTAACTATTTACTGAAAGATTATACCCGTTTAAATTAGATTTATTTTGATAGTCCCTTTAATATTTTAAAACGCGCTCAAATATGCTGAAAGTATGCAAAGCTGCTCCATGTGAGACAGTCGACGCACCTGTTATGTTCAGGCATTTTTTTGTAAATGTTATTTTAGAGTTAGTCAAGCAACACGCATCCCTGTTGTGTATTTGATACCAAAAAGGTGTCGACACAAAAGCCTACTAACTAGACGATGATCTCATCTACCGGAAGAGTTTGTATCACATAACGCGTTTGAGCTCAGTTACATACATGCAGGATGTCTCCTAGGGACAATCCCAAACGAGCTTTTAACGCCTTAATTAACACCCTTCAATTAATTAAACATAAATGTCCCGGGTCCTGAGGGCATACTGGCTGAATTTGGAGCTCACGTCCCATTACATTCTCATTATTAAAAATTTGACTCTATTACAATTGGTTGAGAAGTGAAAATGACTAGCTGGCAACTTAATAATGAATTAGATGACCTAGTTGTGTTGCTTTTACTCAGAAAAAACATGCAAAAGCAGTTCTTGGCATAACATATTTACTTGCAGACTTTTCATCTTGGGGTAATTTGTCCATGTGCAAACAAGGGCTTTCCTAATCTTTTGTTATTTTACTTTTCAGCATGTGATTTTTCTAAATGAGAATGGAGATAGCTGACTTGTGCTGGACAGTTCCATCAGACATTTGAAACAATTACTGGGAGAGAGCAGAGCTGGAGGAAGTTGCTTTGCTCATTATATTGTTCATGCCGTAAAGGCCCCACACCATCTACTGATGAGCACAACTGAAGGTATGACTATTTATACTTGAATATCATAATTTATAAGTATTTTATCAGAAAATCATGACAATTTGAATAGGTGGCCTATAATTGAACCCAAATAGTAAATCGCAATGCAGAATTGTTTTGTCATGTTATGTAGCTATGGACAGTGGCATGCAGCCCCGTTGTGGCTGACTTGACCTTGAAGCGCTGCATGTTCAGAGAGTGATAACTGAGTCCTAACACAATACTTTGCCCTCGGCTTGTGCGCTGCCATTGTACTTTCCTTGCTGCCACAATGGATATAGTTTACTTATTTGTTCCAATGTTCTACACAATAGATATCTCTGTTTTAATTAAAAGTTGATGATGGGTACACATAACACAATATTCTCATTCACAAATCATGTACTTCTTGTATTTAGCAGATTATATTGAAGACATAATGAGACAATGTTCCTCTTCAGCAGTTACTACCTGTGTTGCGAGATAGACTGCTGTTTTGTTAAGTGATACTTTGCTGACTGTAGGATTCACATTTCATTTTGTCTGCAGAATAACCAATCAATATATACATAAATCTTGGTAGGCTATATTGTGTAATGTATTTCACATTTTGTTAATATGACTTCTTATGCATAACCTTTATATAACAAACACCTTTCAATAGTTTAATATCTACACTTGAATACATGCAGATTAGTAAAAAGATTACTTTTCTTGCATAGACATAATTTAAAGATTTTGTTTATACAGAATCAATTTAAGATAACATTGTAAACAGTACTTAATTATTTATACATATTACAGTTATGTCAGCATCTCTATTATTAGTGTTTTAAATATATATTATATAACAATACTCAGTTTTGTTTTGTTTTAGTCACTACACAGTAATGTTCTTGAGGCCTTTGGCCTCATTTCTTTTGTACGAGCCCTTAAATACATACGGCCCATGTTTTGAATTTGTTTGCTTCTTATTTCTGCTTCATTTAAAGCTCATCAAGAGTTGTGAGTTAGAAGAGGAGAGGTTGGGCTGATGGTAAGTATTCTTCTGTATTTATCTCAGATCATTGAGATTTTGCGTAGTCTAGCTATTTCTCATGTAAAATTTGATTTACAGTTTTTCACAGTTTTGCATTATCACAATTTAAGTATTTTAATTTATGCAGATTTTAACCACAGTGAATGCTTTCTGAAATGAACTGTATTTTATGAGACTACAGGGGTCAACTAAATATTAAATTTAATCTGTGAAAAATTATTTTGAAGAAAACAGCTTCAGAAACCACTCACACTGTGTATTTTTATAGTTTCTGCATAATGGGTTGGTGCAATTTGTAATGATGATTTGGCCATGAAAACCAACTAAACTAAACCAACCCAAACCATATTGTGTTGCTTCTTTTTGTATTTTGTTCACCACTGCTGCATGTCATAATTTATTTATTTTCCTTTTGTGGTAGAAAAGCATGACAATGAGCCAATCTACAGATGCATGTCCACAGAAAAGCCCTAAGTGAGCACCATCCCCTATGCGTCCTGGCTTTGCTGCAGCCTGACAGGGGCGTGGGGTGTCGACGGGGTGTAGCTAGTGGCCCCTGCGCGTCACGTAGGACCTCTCTGTGACACTGGAGGTTTCTGATGGATCAGGTTAGTGGTGAGCCGAGTCCAGATGAACAAGACGCAGGGGGGCGAGCAGAGCCGGAGGTCGGCCGGAGGGCTTCTGAGCCAGAGCATGGCTTGTCCAAAATCACCCACAATGCCCTAGAGAACATGGGAGCGTTGGGCCATGGTCTGAAGCAGCTCTTCCAGCCACAGCGCCGACGCTCCTCCGTTTCCCCGCACGACTCCGGCTCTTCCTGTGCAGGCGCCCCTCCATCCGGGCTGCCCGATGTAGGGTCAGATGTAGGGGACAGTCCCGCATCCACTGCACTCCCTGTGGATTCTGACAACACCACTGCCTCCGCCCCTCCCGCAGCTCTGAGCCGTGTCCTGCAGCAGATCCGAGGTCCTCCACCCATGATGAGGAGAGGCACGAGCCTGCAAAGTCGGCGCAGCAAAACCAGCTCTGGGGAGGGCCCCCAGAAAGGTAGCCCCCAGATCCACCGGAGGAGCACCCATGAAGCTCTGCTACAGGCAGGACGCCCTCGCTCCTCCTCCACCACAGACACCCCCAGCAGCCCGGCCCTCACGGACATGCTGCTAACCTCTGGGTACCACTCCACAGAGGAGCCGGACAAGGTGAGAGTCATGGGTCAGAGTTAGAAGTGTTTGGGACACACCCAAATACCACGCATTGATGATTCTATGTATTATTAAATGTATTTAATCTTTATATCAAAAATGTGACAAAAGTTCACTTTGCTTTAGACCTTACATAAACAAATGACAGTTAGATGAGCTGTCAGCAATGAGGGGCAGAGCTTGCCTTCAGTGGCTATGTGCTTAAAGCTGTTCTAAATTTAGCTACCTCTGAGTGTACTGCAGGTCACTGAAGGCTAACACTCCTAAACAAAATCACACTAGTACTTTTTTGCTCCTTATAATGTAATACCTGATTTAAATAGTCAAATTTATAAAGCACACAAAATACATTAAAAGCTATCCTTTAAATTAAATTACCGAATTGTTACATGATGCTAGCATCACCGCAAGGACTCAACATATTTTGTAAGTCCTATGAACTGTTACAGCCAATGTCACAATAAACAATAATATTGAAGACTAATTTATGCCTCTGACGCAATAGTCCAAAAGCATGATAAATTGTTTTAGCAATCATTTCCACAGCTAGTATGAAAATATCTATTTTTACCTCTCTGTGCAGTTGGACCGCTATGATGGTGCAGGGCCTGCTGTGTCGCCAAATGCCCTCTATGGGGCAGATGGATATGATATAGTGGACAGCACGCCTGACCCTCAGAGAACCAAGCAAGCCATTTCCCAGCTACAGCAGAAGATCCTGAAGCTAACCGAACAAATTAAAATAGAACAAACTGCTCGTGATGACAATGTGGCTGAATACCTGAAACTAGCTAATAATGCAGACAAGCAGCAAAGTGCACGCATCAAGCAGGTCTTTGAGAAGAAAAACCAGAAGTCGGCACAGACCATCCAACAACTGCAGAGGAAACTGGAGCACTCACACAGAAAGCTCAGAGAGGTGGAACACAATGGCATCCCACGACAGCCAAAAGATGTGCTTCGAGACATGCACCAGGGACTCAAAGATGTAGGAGCCAAGGTGGGCTATATGCCTTTAACTACTAAACAAATATATCACAGTGAATAGTGTGACACACTTATCTCATCTGTCATTATCAGTCAAATCCAATCCAAATGTATAAACAAGACAGTTTCCAAAGTGCCGCACATAATAGCAATATAAGACAACAAATTGGCAGCATTACATTTTTAACAGGGGCATTACAATTTCAGAGAAAACTTACTGAACTACATGCATTTCAGAACATGTTTGTAGAAGTCTTCTTGACTATATGGTTAACAGACTTAATACATAATAAGACCCCATGGAGACCGGATACCTTTTGTGTTTTTTTGTCATCCAAAGTAACTAGTGCTTTTGCAATTTGCTATTGGAGACCATATGAATGATTGATTACTCTTGCTGCCCTAATCACTAAAGTGTTTTTTTATTGAATGAGAGTATATTGATCTTTTGGGCCTCTCCTTTCAGGTGACAGGTGGGCTTTCCAGTTTCTCACAGGCCACTCACTCTGCTGCTGGAGCTGTGGTCTCAAAGCCGCGGGAGATTGCCTCTCTCATCCGTAACAAGTTTGGTAGCGCAGATAACATTGCAGCACTGAAGGACTCTCTGGACGAAACACAGGGGGATGAGGCTGTGGCCAGGGCTCTCGGGACTGCGCAGTTGCCATCCATTCCCAAATATGGCAGTGAGGACGACTGTTCAAGTGCTACATCAGGCTCTGCTGAGGCTAACAGCACCACTGGAGCTCCTGGTGGACCCCCTAATTCAAAGGGCAGTACGCTGGAACATGGCCAGGCTTTGGGCTTTGATGCGATATTTCAAGAGATGCAAGAACTTCAGGAAAACAAAGGGAGACTTGAGGAGTCATTTGAGGGTATAAAAGCCCACTATCAACGTGATTACACCATGATAATGGAGGCACTGCAGGAAGAGAGATTCAGGTGGGGCTTGTACTGTGAGAGGGGTCTCCTCTGACACTTTGAAATGAAAAAAAAAAACTGCACTCTATCTAAGTACTCTTATGTCTTTTTGCAGATGTGAACGCCTAGAAGAACAGCTTAATGATCTGACAGAGCTACACCAAAATGAAATTTTAAACTTAAAACAGGAACTAGCTAGCATGGAGGAAAAAATAGCTTATCAGTCTTATGAAAGAGCCAGAGACATACAGGTAATCCCAATTATCTTAAAAAATCTGCCATATCAGCACTCTTCTAATCACACCCTGTTTCTGACCTGTAGGAGGCGCTGGAGGCCTGTCAGACTCGTATTTCCAAAATGGAGCTGCAGCAGCAGCAGCAGCAGGTGGTGCAGCTGGAGGGCCTAGAAAATGCCACGGCACGAACTCTTTTGGGAAAACTCATTAACGTCCTGCTCGCTGTCATGGCCGTGCTGCTGGTATTTGTGTCCACTGTGGCCAACTGCGTCGTCCCCTTAATGAAAACACGCAGCCGCACTCTATCAACTCTGCTCTTAGTGGTCATTCTGGCCTTTTTTTGGAGGCACTGGGAGTCTATCTCTGAGTATCTGCACCGCTTTCTCTTGGACCGAAGATGACCAGCTTAAAAATAAACTACTGACATTGGGTTTGTGAAGGGAGGACCCAGCATAGAGGGACTTCCACCACAACATTTGAAAGGTTGTTGACAGCCTGTCTTTGGTGCAATGGTGGCTTGAGAGCACATATAAGGGTAAATTCAGACGTACGAGATGCTGAGAGAACTGCACATTTGATTTCTCTCTTCTGAGTCAGTTTGTTTACATGTGGAAACCTTTGCGTTTTTTCCCCACAGCTGTAATTCAAAAGTTTTATTACCTGCTTGATTCAAGTGGTGTCATTTTGAAGTCATTGCTGTTTTTACAAGCTATTGGTGGCTTTTATATTCTTTTAACTGTAATGCATTATCAGTGCTCTGTTGAGTAACCTATCCATTTTTATTACCTGCTGTTCATAAGTTTGCTGAGCTGATTTTGATTCACAATTTCTACTATGATCTGTCCTTTTGATCAATATTTTTTATCTATTTCAGCTTGCGCAGCCAACGTTATGCGCTTTACTTGACAGCACTTCCCATTGCTTCTCACAGCACTAAACAATGATGACTTGCATCTGTAAATTTGCCCTGGAATCAGACTTGCCAATTGGATCAATGAATAATACAAATAATAATTTAGGGTGTTTTCTTTTATGTGTGAAGTCAAAACCACTGGTCTTGCCACAACCAGGATTTAAGGACATTTTATTTGGTGTTGTGACCCTACCCACTGGGCCTGTGGATCCCTTTGTCCTGGAGGCTTTCCCTACAGAAGTAATCTTTGACATACTTGAAGAGCAGTTAAAAGTGCTCAAAGACTCAGTGCTTCCGTACGGTTTCTATTAGTGACAATGAAATAGTAAGACTTTTTAGTTTTTTTTTTATTTTTGAAGAACAATAAATTTGGTGTTTAAAATGTTTAACTGAAGTCATTTTTAAATTTTTTTATGTAGTTATTTGTAGATATTGGGTACCTAATATCTTTTCCTGCAACTGCCTATTGCATTATTATTCCCGCAAGAGGCAAGACAAGTTTATTTGAATAGCACATTTGTACAGTGTTTCACAGAATAAGAAAGACATTAAAATCGCAATACAAACAAAACAAATTATCATAAAGTTACCATTTAAAGAGAAGAGAGCAGGAAAAAAAGTCATGCACAACTAAACAACTGTTTTTAGCCTAGATTTAAACATAATCAAAGTAGAGACCTGCCTCATCTTCAGAATGATTGTTTCAGTTTTACCCAGCTAAAATCGAACAGAGTTCCTATGTTTAATCCTGGCTTTGGGAACCAGCAGGAAGCCAGGTAGAGCCATCTGTACGCTGAGGACATCACTGACATGTCAGATGTACTTTGGTGCTAGGCCATGGAGAGACTTGTACACGAGTGGAGCTGCTTTTTGTAGGCTCTGTAGGCAAGGTTAGCTGAGGCAGTTATAAGATCTAACTACTTCAGTAGTGTTAATTTCCCTAGCATTGAAAGTTTCAGCAGCCACTTGAGTACCAACTTTATTGGCAGAGCACACAAGACAGCACATCAGTGCTGCTGCCCTACTGTAATTTGGATGAAAGGAAATGAAAAGATGTAAACCCTGTATTTTGCTCATTGTACAAACAACCAAAGTCAGGAATAAACACAGCAAACATTTATTAAATTCATTACAACAGTAAAAACACATTCATTTTTAAACCACGTAGTTGACCTATTGAACACACAACCTCTAAAGTCAAGAGTAAACTGAAAAAAATTATTTGCAGTAAAAATATTTAACTATTCTGAAGCCTTCTTCCCTCGTTTTCCTGTTGCTTTTGTTGGGGCCTCATCTGATTTCACAGGCTGTGCCTTACTCTGTACTGCCTTCCCCTTTTGTGCAGCCTTTCCCTTCTTCAGCTTCTCTTTATCCTCCTTTACCACTTTGGCTTTCCCTTTAGGTTTCACAGGCTCACTCTCTTCTACCTCTTCAGACTCTGCTGCCACTTTCTTGGCAGCTTTAGGCTTCTTTGCAGGAGTGACCTTGGAGGACAAAACATCTTCCTCATCCTTTTTGGATTTTTTTGCTGGCTTGGGTTCCTAAAAAGGTAAAAGACGTTGACAAAAATAAAACACAGTATCACATGTAGATATGATACACTACAAAGCCCACCTCCAATAATTTTTCTTTGGGTTCCTTCTTGGCAGCTTAGAAGAGTACATTATATTATATTATGAATTACTTGAAAAAATAAATATATATATATATTTTTTAAAGCAGCCTTACCGGGCTTTTTCTTGGCTTCACCCTCCCCTGCTTTTAGGGCCTTCTGCACGTTTGGGTCAACATTCTCAGATTTTCCCTTTGGCGCTTTGGATTTCGGTGGAAGCTACACACAAAACGGACAAAAACATTAAGTGAAGTCCATGCCATTTGATGCATTAGTGGTATATTTGGCATTACCCTGAACCTTCCCGTGGCGCCAGTGGTCTCAGTGGCGTTAGCGGGCCTCACTAGAGTGCCGCTCTCAATGCCCTTCTTCAGTGCTTTGCGGACCAAGCCCTTCAGTCGCACCAGATCCACTGAGGGGTATTGCTGTTTGATGTACCTCTGAATTGCCTGAGAAGATACGCCTTTTCTGGAGTCGAGTGCTTTGATCGCTTCTCGGACCATAATCGCTGTAGAGGGGTGCGTGGAAAGCTTACGCACAGTGGCAGCGTCTAAGTGTGGAAATTGTATTTTCACATGATAAACAGGCAATAAAATTATAAGATATCTATGATTTAGTTAAAATATTCAACTTGCCTGTTTTCTTTCTATCTTTTTCATCTGTAGGTGGGTCCTCGTTGGAGAGAGAGTCAGCTACTGTCGCCGCCACCGCCACAGCTGCTTTTTTAGGAGCCATTTTTTGTTTGTGATATTGGTAGTTATAAAATGGAAAGAAAAAGGAGCCCGATACCAGTGTCCTGCTAGCGAGTAGTGAGAGGGCTTAATGAAGTAAGGCGCCAACAAAAGCCACGCCTTAACTATTTCCGGCAAGGTCCCCGCCCACTCAGGTGTTCCTCCGCTACACGTGTACGCCATTGTCTTATTAGCGTTTCACTATAAAAATATGAAATCAGTAAGTAGGGGATTTCATTTTAAAGCTTACAACGTGCATGAATGACACAATTTAGGTTCACAAAAGCGGCTGAGTGGCAATAGCAATCACACAGAGTTCACACAGAGTTCACACAGGCAGCACTGAAGGATGGGTCAAATACGAGGACAAATTTCTCTACGGGGGCAATAAAGTCTGCCTTTACCTTATAAATAGTGCCTGTGTTCTAAAACTACCATTTCTTATACAGTTTAAGCCACAAAATGTATCAGTTCAAAGTTGTGGTGCTACTATTGGATTAGGCATTAGAAATGCTTTTTCTTTAGCTCTATTCTAAATATAAAACACATAATGGTAATGTTTTCATTGTCGTTTGATCAAAACAGAACACATTGTTGTCTACATACACTTTATTAATTAAATAATTTGTCCTTGCAGATAGGAAAATTGCCTACCCTTATCTCCAAACTGCTGCGCAAACTGGTGTCCATGTGAATTATCCGTAGGTCCTGCCAGCAGCTACAGTAATATTAATCCATAAATTAACATCAAGACCCATTTCTTAAAGCAACATACTTTATTAATCTCTTGTTTGATGGTAATCCAGAGTATTTTTTCTAAAGCAGACACACAAACATGATAAGAAAAATGGCTCACAAATAGAGACAAATGTTGAACAGCCACATAAGCCCACAAGGCTGTTGGAAATGTGATGCAAAATTGAACTCTACTTTCTCACTTCTCTAGACCACCATGTAATACAACAGTGCAGCAAAGAGACTTCTGAAGACAACTATGACCAACAGCAGAATTTAAAAAGCTGCAAGAATATTATTTGTAAACCTTATACAACCAAAAACACATGTAAGATGCTGCACAACATGGGGACACAAATTAATTGTAGCATGGCTTATCTACGTGGCTTGGATTTTATTTTTTTTATTGCAAACTATAAATAATGTTTTTCAAATGGTATGTATTCAAGTATTTTTTGTAGTTACACATATACCGTTCACCAGGCCACTTATTGTCCTTTGAAAACATTAAATAGCTTTAACATAACTGCTGCATTTTCAGAAGTTAACAAATGTAGGCCAGTGTATCTGTCTTTAAACAAGTGTATTCCTCTATGCACAGTGCTTAGGGTTAAAATTATCTTAATTACATTATAATAAATTGTGATAATTATCCAGGTATTATTTACAATATATATGATCAAATAAATACCATTTTAACCTTTACAGAGCTGCTGTTTGGTATCAGCAAACTACTGCCAAAATATAATCTATATAGCTATGGCAAAGGTGCATCATATTCTGCAGACCATAACATTTGCTTTGATTCTTTCTCATAACAAACTCATTTAAAACAACTTTCCAAATCAAAACTGAACACATCCATATAGCTCACATATCTTTTGCTATTTTAATTCAGTGAATATTTATAAAAACATGGTAAACTGTCAGAGGCATGAAGTGCATTGAAAGCAAGACACCACGTTATGTAAGTCTGCCTTGATGGAGTAATTCTCAGATCTAGGGTGCGCAGCGCAGCCTGGTACAAAGGTATGAGCGATCGTCACTGGCCAATGATCATCTTTGTAGCCGTAGATTTACTCTGGGTCTAGTGCGTTTTGAGTCTTTTTGTCTTTGAGGTCACCTGGAGATGACAGCTGCAATCAGGGGAAGCAGAGCTGAGGTGAAGAAAAAGGAGGGACGTGTTGCTGAACCACACTCTATTGCATTTTCCTGGAAAAAAACAAAATCACATATTAAACAATGCAACCACAAATTACTCTTATATTACTTTTTGTCAGTTTGTCAATAAAGTTAAATTAGGAATGCATTATATATATTGTTGAATTGTATTTTCAATGCAATGGTTACAGATGGCCAACAGGGGGCAAAGCTGTGCTTTGCAAGCATTTCCAATAAAACATACTGTTTAATTGTTGTAAAAAAATTTACACACATAAACTGTACTTGATTAAGTGTAAAGAAGCCAATATGCATTTGATTTTGTCAATTTGCTGTATATAGCTCCCATCCACTTCCTCCATAAAAGACATTTTACATTTTACCAGTGGAACATTTTTTCATCTCATATTCTAAACATTGTCTCTTTGACAATTTAAATAAAAATTTTCTATGAAGTATACTGGAGAAATAATACATTTCTGGTTCATATTATGCCCATGAGTTCATACCTCTGGGTGGAAGGGGTGACAAGATTCAGGCTTTTTTCTGTCCTTCTGATACTTGAGTCGGTCACACTTCAGGGACTCGTTGTGTTCACAGGAGTCAAGGATAAACATCGAATAAACCCCATTAATAACACACACACATCTCCACATGCAGCACACTAAAAGGATATACATGATTTCAATGGGATCCATAGTAACGGCAGGCGCACTGCTGCAGTCGCACTTATTGTCCACAACGATCATGAAGAGGTTGCTGCTGGGGATCTGCTGAATGACAAAGGACCTGCAAAGACACTGTTATCACTATCAAAGCACACGCTCAGCAGCATCTCACTTTAATGCGCTTTGGAAACACCATCGGGGCAACAGTAGATGATCATTATGTAGTTCATTTAGTGATGCCCCAAGCACTACCTGATACAGCCTTCACAATCCACACTGCCTGATGTCTCTCTGATGATGCGCTCAGAAACGAAGGCAGGATACTCAGTGTCACAAGGGACCATGATAGTTTTACCACGAGTTCTCTGGGCTGGACACCGTATATTAACCATTAAAACAAATAACTCTGGACCAATAATGCTTACATTAAAGAGCATTTGTTACCTTTCACTGATGCATCAATGTTCCACCAGCTGTACAAGTTAAACTCCAATAGAAAACTACAGACACACAAAGATACAATTGCGATTATTCTAATAGAGCTCATGAGCAAATGTCAAAAACTTGTGTTAAATGAACAAATTGCTATATATATCAGCAAAATATATTCTAAAAAACAAAGGAGTCATGGGACAACCAGATAATCTGGCAAATACATATATCACACTATACTGTATAAAATACTTTTAAATGAATGCTAAATTTAGCATTAGCTTATTTAGCTCTTAAAATTTCCATTGATTTTACATTAGGTTAACTAACTAAAATTCTATGAGGCGTGACAACAATCCAGAACTTTATAAACAATGTTACGGGAACTTTAAAACCCAGGGAAATCTAAATTAACCACATTTATAAAATTGACATCTACTTTTAATGAAATGATTTGAAAAACAAATAAAGATGTATTTTACTCCTAATATATTTATTTAACTGTAGACTTACATCACAAGTTCCGCCAGTAGCCACTTGACAACAGTGAAAGGCTAATGATGAAAGGTAAAAAGTTCATTATGAACATTACAAAAATATGTGATGATTCATTAACATTTTCTCTTACATTTGACAAAGTGTGGCCACTGTCACTGCTGCCAGCATACTCTCGACACACGGCCTGATAATCATACAATGTGATCCTGCAAACAGCAAGAGCAGCAACTAGTCAGAGAATACATATCTACAACACTACTGCCAATACTAATACTATAACTACTACTATTACCACCAGCACCACTAGTACAACTACCACTATGACTACCACTACTATGAATACTACAACCACAGTTACTAATAACTACAACAACTACTACAGAGTGCTTTGCAGGTACCTTTTAAAAGTGCCCATCATTAGAAGTTTGCTCATAACAGCACCCTCCACCTCTCCAAAAAAGAGTCCGGTCTAAAGGAGTACATATAAAAAGTACATATTTGATATAAAATGTAAATTAAACACAACAATATTTATAAAACTTGATTTTTTACAATTATCAACTGAGTAGTTTGATAAGAGACTACTTATTTTTGCTGAGTATTTTACTATTATATTTTGGCCTGTATTGTCACAATTAAGCAAATAATATTGATATTCCTACCTATAGCAAGAGAATTTTATATTGCCTTGTATAAGTAACCATAGCGACAAACACATACCTGGGTAGCATCCTCTGCCACCAGAATAAAGCCATTGTTGTCGATGAGATAACAGTTAATGTCCTGTCCCAAGGCAGAAAAGATTAAGCTTCAATGCAACAATATAAAAACCTTCTGTATGAGAAAAGGGGGCATCTACTCACATCGTTATCACAGCTTAGACTGCATTTTCCATCGAGGGCTGAACACTGCACAAAAAACACAAGTTACTTCATACACTAAAATTATCAGTTTTTGTCATCTTGAATTAGACACATACTTGTCGACAGGCAGTCCAAAATTTCCTCTGAAAAAACTCAAGCTTCATCTGGATTCCAACAGCTAGTTATAATACAAATGAAAAATTTATTAATTAATTAAATATATACAAATGTTATAAAATGGTGATAAACTGTTATGGAATATATAAAGGATGCATTACCAGCAACAATTGGAGACTTTCTGTCATCTGTCAACTGAATCGCTGTACTGGCCAAAACCACACTCTTATTTTCAAAAGCTGCACAGAACACAGTTCAGTTTAGATCAGGAGTCTCCAACTTGTAGCTCAGGAGTTACCAGTAGCTCTCCATCCCCTTCCAAGTAGCACCCCAAGAGATTTCTAAATCATACATATTGTGTTTAATAACTAAAATCTGATTGTAAATGTATCATTTTGAGGCCTAACTTCTGCAATCATGAATGGATAATGGTTTATGTTTTATAAGCTTCTAACTCTTCCCCATCTAAGGATTGCTCTTACACTCTCTCAGTTTCTTGCAACTGCTCTCTGGCATTTTCATTACATAAAAGTAGCTCAGCAGAGGAAAAAGGTTGGAGACTCCTGGTTTCGATGAAAGAGAGGGTTGCTCACTAGATGGCGCCAGACACTAAAATTACAATATATATTTCATGAAGTCTGGTGC